TTCTGGGTTAGGGTTAGCTTTTTTCCTTCTTTTTTTTCTTTTTTTTTGGTGGTTTTTTTTTGTTTGGGTTTTTTTTTGGTTTTTTACTTTCAGCACAAACAAGTTGCAAAGCAGGACGGGTGCTGTTGTATTTTCTCTTTCCGCAAGGCAGCTGCCTCCAGTCGTTAATTGACTGTGGGCACTTGATTCCTCTGTAAACTATATTCCTTTGCCTTCAGTCTCAGGTTGGCAATACTGTTGGCCATATTCATGCCCTGCGCCGGGCTGGCATTGGTACACGTGGCAGAGTAGGTGGCCATGGCACTGTGAACGAGAGAAACATCACATCAGACGTGGTCTTCGCACCACACAGAGAGCAGACACGCACCGCAGCAAGGTTAAACCCTGGGGTTTCCATACCTATGGGATGTATATCTTATGTGAGCAGGGAATTATCACTACTTTTTATTTAACACCCCTGTACATCTCTCTGCTGCAGTTCACTTACCCGGGGAAAGCCAACGCCAAAGCTGGTTGAAGTCAATAGGAAAAATTCCATTTCTTATTTCCCAACCCAAAAGGTTTACAATGAGGTCAGGGAGGCCAGCCTGCCAGTAAGATCATTGTCCCTAAAAGTATTCCCATTGGAAGCAATGTCTTTTTGATGAGAGCATGATGCTGGTTTTTATTGCTTGTGAAGTCACGTCACTTCTGAAAGACGTTACATTAAAGAAACACTCTGGGAAAAACCCATTTCAACAATTGTGATGCTTTTTGGTTTCAGCCTTTTGGAATGCAAATTTCCACATTTTTTCCCTCAAAACTTCAGCTGATCATATAGAGCATGCCTTAAAGGATGAAGGGAAAAAAACCAAAACATTTTTTCTCCCTTCAAATCATGTCTTTATTCATGAAAAACATTACTTTTGGCAGTGGAGGATGAACAAAGATCTCAGAGTCCTTTCCTATCCTACCAAAAATTTGCAAATCTCCTTTCCAGACCACTAGAAAACTTGTTTAACCCTTGTGTCCCAGGTTTCTGGAAAAGCAACCCCCCCACCCCAAAACACAGCAAACTATCTGACGTGTTGCATTTCCTATACATGGGTCCACAGAAAAAAACCAGTTGAAAAACAGGAGGTGAACTAGAGACACCCATTTAATGCAGCCAGTGTGTTCAGAAGGAAACCGCAAATGCTCTCCTGGAGGCAAGCTCAGGTCTGGTGCTGACCCGTTCCAACCGCCTGCGTGAGAGGCTCACGTCCGAAGCTCTGGGAAACGCTCACAGCCCAAGAAATAAGACAGCTTGCTTTTTTCCTTTTTTCTTTTCTTTTTTTTCTTTTCTTTTTTCCTTCCAGTGCTGATCTCCACAACTGGAAGAGCCTTTGCAACAGCAGATCTCCCTTGAGGGAGGTGGGCATTTGCTGCATGCACAGAACCAGGCCATGGGCATGCATGCTCGCCCCAAAGCGCTGGCGGTATCTCTGACTTTGCAGAGCAGCGCTGACCTGCCAGGAGTTTAAATGCAATTCAGCACTGTCTGAATCCTCAGCCTCCAGGAGATCCAGACCAGGCAATACTAGTAGGTCCCATCCCAGGCCAAATGACTCCTTCTCACTTTAAAATCGGAAAAAAGAACTTCTTCAGAGAGGAACTGTCATCTCTGCATCAGCCCTGGTGGAAACACGACAGCCTACACCCACGGAAATGACAGGTAAGACTCGTGGATATACAGCTGCTTACACCCATCCAGGGAAAAGCACTGAAAACTCTCCCCAGGAGAGCACACATTCAGGACACTTTGAGAGTCTCTAGCAGCTACTGGAAGGATATGGAGGATGGACATTAAAATACACACATCAAAATACAGGCATATCCTTAAAAATATAGACTTATCCTTTTTCAATTTATTCCTTCAGAAGAACCCAAAACCTTTCAGATAAGAAAGCCATAGCAGCCCCGACCAGAGGAGTTGGTGAGCCCCACAGGGCTCAGGGGTGTTCGACACTGCCCAACATGGGGTACATCGGCTGCATTTTGCCAGGGTCTGGGATGCGATGGATCGGTGTGCCTGGAGCCTTCCCCAGCTGGCCACGCACCCCCTCAGTTTCCTCTCTGTGGCTGACTTCAAGGTTGGGGACTTTACCCTCTCCCCTGTAAGTCAGTAGCAATGTGAGAAGCCGAGTGTTGCCTGCAGAGGCGTTGCAAAGTTTTGCAGGGTCTATAGCTGATGGCCACTAAAGCACCCATTCCCACCCATTTCCATAGGGAGCATCTCCCCCATGGTTTTGTGCTGGAAGAAATGAGAAGAGCCTCAAGGATACTCTAGCTTAGATAAAATAGGAATTTTCAGTCTTGGGTGTAAACTGTCCCCATTCAAAAACCATATACAACTGCTGTCCAAGTCTGGTCTAAAACTCCGGGGTGCCTCCTGCTCTCAGCTCCCCAGAGGTGTGGGGAAAATTACTGTTGCCCAGTGAAATCTCTGCTAAACCAAAAATCTACAGAAACGCTCTCTTTTAGCAAGTTATTCCACAAGGACCAGTGCCCAAGAAGGCTGCCTCCAAACATCAGTATGGCTTGAAGGGTTGGTCCAGAGACCCTCTAGGGTCTAATAAGGGTTGAAGTCACCCTGCTGTCCCCTCCCTCCGCCCCATTCAGGCACAAAAAGAATCTCCTTCCTCTACTCAGCTGCCTGATTTCATGAAACACAGAGGAACATCATGTTTCTGAGACCTAACATCCTTCTTTCAAATATGGTTTTCAGTGGCCCATGGAGTCAAAGTTTGTTGGAGTGGGAACTGCAGGCTGACAGCGCGACTGCTAGTCTTGTTTTCTTAGGAACCTATGCTAAAAAATGTCTAAGCAAAACATTTCAACTTCAAAAAAATAATAGTATCTACTTGGCTATCTATGTGACACAGATCTGCAAATAGCTTTGGTTGACCTGTGGCTGAATGTATTTGGAGAATAAACACACTGATTGAAAACCTTCCCCAGATCTAAGACTAAAAACAGCACCAGTCAACGCAGCTCTCAGCCCTCTCCTGGACTAGCCGTTAATCAGCGGCTGGGGCGGCAGCGGCGGGGGGGGGGGG